TACTATTCCAATTTTCTCTGTTTCGGTCTTCAAGCCATAATCGACGAATTTTTAAATGTATTTTCATTCATCACTTGTCGCCCACCTCACGTCACCTCCATATGATAGAGTGAGAGACGTAGGATTTTGGCAGGAATAGGTGATCTATAACAAGGCATTGAGAAAAAGAAATATAGACATTTGATCGGAAGCCAGCGAATAGTAGTTATGCACGTGGTTTGCGCTAGTCGACCGATGCTCAGCTGGTGGTGGCTGGTATCCCGCCAATCGATTTGCTGGCTGAGGAGAAATACGCACCCTACAAAAGGGTACCGAAGCTAGAAGTGACGAAATGAGGCTTGTCGTGAGATGATAAGGGAGAATTGAAGAATGAAAGTCGATGCTTTTGCAAAAAATTTTCAACGGTGTTTATAAATTCTGATTCTTCCTAATTCTGAGTTCATGACTTCAAATTTAACTAGTATGAATATAGGTATATCTGAACACTGGAAGTGAAGCGGATATAATGCTTCCAGAAAGTTAAAGAATAAAATGACTTCAGGCTATGATGGTGAGCCTAGTTTTTTAAGAAAGGATTGCATGTATTGGCGAAACCGCTTTGCATGATCTATAATATGATATTGTTAACATGCTCTTATCCTCGTATCTGAAAAATGACCAAGGTATGTCCTGTCTTTAAAAGTGGCGATAGAAGTAATATTTGTAACTGTAGGCAGATTGCAATCCGCTGCAATTTTGGTAAGATTTTTGAGGTTATTATTTATAATACCATTTTTAAATCTGTCAAATGTACTGTTTCTCCTAACCAGCATGGTTTTGTTGCTGGCAGATCAACAGTCACAAATCTGATCTGCCTGACTCAAACTATCTCTGAGGTATTAGATGACCAGGGTTAGTTGGATGTCATTTATACCGACATTCAAAAGGCCTTTGATCAGATAGATCATTACTTGCTTCTTGCTAAGCTTGAAGTGATTGGGTTGTCTAAATCTTTATTGAAACTTATCAGATCATATTTATTTGATAGAAATCTGTACGTTGAGTTTGGTGGTTTTAAATCTACTTCTTATACAGCAACATCTGTATTGCCACAAGGATCCAATTTGGGTCCTTTGTTTATCAATAATCTGTCGCTGGAATTGCTTGGTATGCATTTACTTCATGCTGATGACTTAAAAATTTATACCGCTATTCAGAGCTATCACGACGGTATCTCTCTTCAAAACAGCTTGAACCTGGTGCATTCTTGTTGATCCAGAAACTCTCTCACGATTAATGTATCAAAGTGTAAAGTAGGAAGCAAAATGATTATATATGATTATAGTATCGATGATCACTTACTCGAATGAACAGAAACGTTCAAAGATTTGGGTGTTGTATTCGATGACATTCAAGGATCACATCACTCAAATGGTGAATTCAGCGTTTAAGATGCTAGGTTTTTTTGTAAAGAATTGCTCAGGGTTTTCAAACATATCTTTTATATTTTACATTTATTAGAAGTAAGCTGGAATACGATTCATTAATTTGGTCTCCAATCTACAACAATTCAAGGGTTAGTATTGAATATGTGCAGCGTAAGGCATTAAAGTATTTGTATTACAAATGTTATGGCAATTGTCCTGAAAGAGGTATAGAGTCATTGCATCTTAGACGAGATATATCAGCGCTACATCTGTTGTGCAAAATCATACACAAACAAGTTGATTATTCATTCATATTAAGTAAGCTTAATTTTTGTGTGCCTAGGTTGGAAAATCGTGTTCAAATCACTGTCTATCCGGTGTTTGGTAATACTAATTTAAAGTCTAGATCTCCGGTAAATATGATTTGTACATGTTTCAATTCTGTTTGCAGTTCCTGTGACTTATTTTTTGATAGTGAGAACTTTGTTATGAACTGCTACAGAGACTGGTACCTTTGTCAGTGAGAGTATGTTTTTTCTTTCTTTAAGTTTTTTTTTTGTCTTTAGCGTTACCGCTGTTGCTAATTATGTAACTTTTTCTTGTTTTACCTGTAACTGGATGTTACCAGTTGGGAATAAATAAATAAAAATAAATAAATATATAAATAAATGCATGGACTAGAAGGCTGATCTTAGATATTGAACATTGACAAGCGCACAGTGCGGATCGATTACTATACGGCACAGTTCCTCACAGGTTGTAGTTGTTTTGACAGCTACCTGAAGAGAGCAGGGAGGAAAGAGTACGCGAACTTCGACTATCTACCAGAGACAGCTGGAAATGAAGCTCGACGAAAGGCTCACTGCTGACAGTTTCGGCAGGTATGTAAGCGAGGGCAAATGGATTGAAATAGTTAGTCAAGTGATGCTGAGCAAGGTACAGGAGGATCAAAATAGACCAAGGAACCAGCAATAGGTTTCTACTTGACAGACTGTGCATATGCGTATGAACGACGCTAAAAATAAGATGACTAAATACCTTTGGTATAACTTGATGCAATGCTACCCAGTATGACAAAATCCTGCAAATATTACCGTAGTTGGAGCTGTTGGGAACGACCGAGGGATTTGAGTGAGCATGACGCATTTTTGGAGAATCTCACATGCAAGAAAGACCGACAAAGCAAATGAATGAATGAATGAATCTTGAAATTAGAGGCATTCCGGCCACCAAAAGGAGCCAGTGCATAGGCCGCTTAAGCGGGCCCTTATGCACCTCTACAATCCTTAGATCACAAGCCTCGCTCTTTTAGCGAAGTTGAGAATCGTCTTGGGTCCAAGCTCCTTGACGTCCTGAGGGTCCAAAGTAATGGACCCCAGTATAGTCTGCCTATAGTAGCTCAGAGCTTCACAGCGACACAAAACGTGCGCCGAGGTCTCTTCCTCTACTCCGCAGCGTTCACACAAGGGATCCCCAGCCACCCCCATCACGTGCAGGTGACGCCTTAGCACTGGGCCCTTCAATGAGTTCTCGTGACTGGCGGAGATGTCTGGAGATACTTCTCCATGTCTGAGAGTGTTGTCTTGCAACCCAAGTCTCCATTTTCCTCCTAGCTTTATGCGCGGTCACTCCTGGAGCTGGCTCAGGACCAACGAGCTTGCTGGCTGATCCTGTCTTCGCCATTGTGTCCGCCGTCTCATTGCCCCTTATCCCAGCATGCCCCGGTACCCATATTAACGATACCGGATGCCTCGCTGCGAGGCAATCCAGAGCCTCCCTGCATTGCAATACAAGACTCAAAGTAATCTTACAGGCACTTAGTCCTTTCATTGCAGCCTGGCTGTCGGATAAGATTGTTCTTCTTTTCCTAGGCCCACCCTCCTCCAGAATGTGAGATACACAAGCCAGAATCGCAAAGATTTCCGCCTTGAAAATGGTGGTGTATCCACTGAGAGACAGAGATAGCCTAGTTCTAGGCCCAGAGACCCCAGCACCTGAGTCCTCTTCGGTGACCGAGCCGTCCGTGTACCAGACCTGCCCGCTCACTACCGGCGTCACCCTCCTCCCTCGTTGAATACTCCACAATAAACTTGCGGTTGAAGCGATATTTAGGGGTAATACAAAGCAAAACTTAGAATCGTTACATCTTCTGTCAAAAAAAAATACGTCGCCTGCCACCAGCCCCTCAGATTATAACTGTCGTCTTAACTAACGCGAAAAATGTAAACAAACACACCTTGAGTATCTCGTGACACCACAATGTTAAAAAAATACTTATCATTGAATTTTCGGCTACCTTGAAGAGGTGCTCCAAAAGCAATCTGTACAGATAGAGCTGACTCCCGAATAACACAATCTAGTCTGCACACAGCTGTAACAAGCAATTTTTCAACGTTAATAGCACTTTCATCGGCCAACTAAACGAGGCAACAATAAAATGGAGTACCCGGGAATGCAGTTGGACCGATGCCATTACAAAAGGTTTAATGTAGACTTTTAACGTCGTTGGTACGGAAAACAAAACAACATCGCCGCTACGTTAATCCATTCAATTGTTTGTCTTACGAGTCCCCATAAATTATTTCACTTAAAACAAAACGAAATGCGACCATAACATTAACCAACCTTCCAGATTGACTGGCTGTCGGGGTATTCAGGTGGAGTGACATACCATGGAAATGAGGTCTTTCGCATAAGCGGCACCGAGATCCCGATAGGAATAGGGCTGGGGTTTACTGATATGGATTCCGGGCCACGCTGATAAAAGAAAAGGCGTCAAGTAGGTTCATTTTGCACTTACAAGCTAGCTCCTCAGAGAAAAAAGCTAGCTACAACCATGTGTAACAAAAAATCATATGGATCAAGTCTGTCAAACAGGTCCATATAATTGGTCCATAGAGCAAAAGCCAAAAATTCGTATCAAAACAGTCGCGTGACATACTCCTCACTCTACGTAGGGGAGATCTAGGAGAGTTGTGACAATTTTTACATAAAGGGCTATATCTCGCTCAAGAAAAATTTCACAGCTATGACTCATGTGAATTAATTTAGCGCCATTCCATTGTTTTCAAAACCGTCACCAAAATTAATTGAATTATTATACTTTCTGAAAAAATCAACAAAATCAAAGACCACTCCCCCGGCACAACTCTCCTACCACTGAGGTAAGTTGTGACAGATACCGAGGTAAGCTGTGACAGCATTCTATTTAATCTATTAGATATAAAAAAATACCATTACACATAATATAAATAAATCAAACACTTTTTTTAGCAAAACAGTACTTTAATCATCTTTTATTACCTACCAACTAAATCAACATAGTATTAACAGGTGATTATAATCTTTTAATTAACTAAATATGGCATCGCTTTGAGATCAATCATATTATTAATATAATCAGAACAAAATGTTAATCTGATCAGATTCACAATTATGGCAAACGTAATGCAGCTCATCTTCAGTACAATCTACGTGTGCCCAGCTTTTGCATTCCAGGCATTGGACCCACTGCTCATTCGGTCTGCTGTCTGCATAGGCTTCAAGGCAAACCAAACAAAAGCAATTATTTTCTGCTTCTTCTTCATCACTAGATCAATACCTTTTATTTATTCTTTGATTTTTTAGGTTTTTTCTTTTCTTCTTAGACTGTCTATTAGCCTCTATAGCAGCTATTTCATCCTTCGTGGTAGTGTCAGTAAGGACATCAGATTTGATTTTACATCGGTTTGGTTGGCCGTTTTTTCTTGGCGGAGCTCTTGGCAATGGTCTAACTACTCTAACTGATTCCAGCGAGAACACATTAGAAACAGTGGTAAGTGGACCAGGGGCTATAGATGTGGATGAAATTGGTTCAATGGTATTATTATTCAGAACTGAGGTGTGGGCTGCAGATGTAGAGGCAACAGGTTCATTGGCATTATTGTTTACAACTGACAAACTGCTATATGGCATGATCTGATCTGTAGATGTACCTGGAGTAATAGCTCTTGCTTCATCATTATCAACTACGTCAGTGTTAAGACTTGGAGTTGTAGTTCTTTCTGCTGGATTGTCCAGAATTTCTGAAACCTATTACTCTACGTCGTGATAGGGACGATCGGTCACTTGACTTGGCTGAAAATTAGCTTCTCTAAATATGTCTTTCTCATTTTTCTGCCATCACTCTGGAATTTTTTATTATAATTTTTGGCCCATAATCAGATGCTGCACATGTTAACAAATAGTCGCTTAATATATTCTCTTTCTCTTCTGTAAAAATAGTCGGAATGGTCAAACCCTTAGACGGAGCTTTGTCTTCTGGGTTTGCTTGATAAGCATCTTTCTGACTTGAATAACTATACAAATTAAGAAAAAATGAAGGCTGAAGTTGTACCATGTGACCTATCCGATCATTTTTTACAAATAGCTGAGCTAATTTTTGATGAGTCCAGCATGTGCTTATACAGCAATTATATATCAAAAAGGTGTTTTGATGACGAAAATAATCTGTACTATTTTAGGCTGTTACTCTCATATCAGGACTGGGGTTGCTTGGAGAACCTGGCATGTTGTGATATTTAATTTTCTTTATTCCATGATATTTTCAGGTATAATGGATAAGGCATTTCCGTTAACTAGCTTCAAATTAAGTAAGAAGAACCTTGGGTGAATGATAAAATTATCGAGGAGGGTATACTTCTGCGATATATCCATGCTGCTTATAAATATACAGGGAGTGCAGACTTACACGAACGATACAAAACTCTGAAATGTATACACAGACGTAAAATTCAGGAAGCTAAAAGCAAATACCATGCTGAAAATATCTAAAATTCCTGAAACATGTCTAAAACTGCATGGAATTTAATAAAACTACACGTTAATTTTCTTAGAGATGATGGATCACAGCTCGTTGACAAAGAGTTAGCTGACTCCTTTAACAATTATTTCTTGGAATCTGTGCAATCCTTAACGCAAAATCTCAATATTGATACTAGTACAAAGCATATCGCTAAAAATCCTTTTTCATTTTTTCTTCATTCATTGAGTCACAGCGAAACCGTAAACATTATCAGTGAGATTTCAAAAAAATCATCCAGTGGCGATGACGAAGTACCCTGCTCGCTGCTAACAAAAGTAGCAGATCTATTAGCCAAACCAATTTGTTATCTCATTAATAGCTCTTTTACTGATAGCGTGTTTCCATCAAGACTAAAAAAAAACAGTTATTGTCCCTATTCTCAAAAAGAATGATGTAACTGTCATAGCCAATTACAGAGGAATTGCACTTCTCTCTGCGTTTTCAAAGGTATATGAGAAAGCCTACTATTCCAGACTTGTTCAATTTATTTGTCAACAAAACTTACTTAATTCAGTGCAGTTTGGATTTATCAAAGGACGGTGCACTCAAAATGCTCTTTTATTATTATGTAACGAAATTTCACAAAATTCTGAAAATAAAGAAACAACAGCATGCATATTTTTTGAGCTCAGTCGTGCATTCGATACAGTTAATCACTCTTGTTGACTGTACATAAGTATTTTCTTTAGTGACGAGTCTCGATTTTGTTTAGGCATGCACGATGGTCGTGCCAGGGTTAGAAGGCGACGTGGTGAAAGGAGCAATCCACAGTTTTTTGTTGAAAGAAATGTTCATCACACTGTTGGATTTATGGTTTGGGGTGCTATAGCTTATGGTTCCAGGTCACCTTTAGTCTTCATCAGAGGTAACATGAACGCGCAGCGTTATATCAACGAAGTTCTAGAACCCCATCTTTTACCCTATCTTGACACCCTGGCAGATCCAACTTTCCAACAAGATCATGCCCGACCACATGTTGCAAGAGTCACAATAGACTTCTTTCAACATAATGATGTCACATTGTTACCATGGCCACCAAGATCTCCCGACTTATCCCCAATTGAGCACGTGTGGGATATGATGGGTAGGAGGTTGCTCAATTTGCAACGTCCTCCTCAGACTCTAGAAGCACTTCGAGAGGAGTTGGTGGTTGCCTGGAATGAGATACCACTGGAGGACATTGACCACCTGATCAGAAGCATGCCTAGGCACGTTGGAGAATGCGTAGCACATCAGGGTGCATCCACACATTATTAAAGGTCAAAGGGCTTTAAAGCAGTGCAATCATTTTGAAATTTTTATCATTTACTTATTATGCTTCATTAAGTACTTATACAAAATTTTATTAAAATAAAATCATTTAAACTGGGTGTTCGGATTTATATGTCACTTAGTATAGTAGTCGCTGAATACAGCTAATATATCTTTATCATGATGAATGTCACAATTACAATTATAAGCTATGGTGTTAAAGCTGGAGCACATAAAGTACACAAGTGACTTAATCATAACATTATAATTTGGTGTTTTTAAGTAAAAAGCCAGGAATCTTCGGGAAATGCGGGACGGTACATGAAAATCAATTTTAGCTAATAAAGCTGAAGAATCAACACCGCTGTGTACGAGTTTGTAAAGGAATTTTAAACTATTCCAAACTCTTCTCAGCTCAAGAGGATGCATTTCAAATCTGAGCAACATCGCTGATTTAGGAGTCCCACGATTGGAATAAACACCATGTAATTTGAAAGGCAAGTATTTAAGAAATCTCCTCTGTACCCTTTCAATTTTATTAATATAGATTTGGTAATATTGATACCATACACTAGATGCATATTCCAGCCTAGAACGCACCAAGGTGCAGTATAAAGCCTTCAGTGCCGTTTCACTAGCAAACGATTTACAGTTTCTTATAAAAAAACCGATGCTTTTTATAGCGGATGAAACTATTGTACTAATATGACCTGTAAATTCTAATTTAACATCAAACAACACACCTAGATCTCTTACTTCTGAACAACGCGTCAAACTGACACCTTCCAGTGTGTAAACAAAAACTATTGGATTCGTTTTCCTGGTAAAAGAACAGGTTTTGCTTTTGCTAACATTCAAAAATAATTTATTAGTTGAACACCATTCAAATATATGATTCAGGTCAGCTTGCAAGATTAGACAGTCATCAATACTGTTAATCTGAGCATATATTTTTAAGTCATCGGCAAGCAACAGAAAAGGTCAGGTTAAGCAGTTAGGGAGGACATTGATAAAATAAAGAAAGAGAAGAGGGCCTAAATTTGATCCCTGCGGTACACCGGATGAAGCCGAGTAAGGTGAAGATTTGAAACCATTGTAAGAAACGTACTGATTTCTATCATGCAAGTAAGAATAAATGACTTGGTCTGTCCCGCGTTTCCGACTTGACGTCGACCTCTAGGACACCCTACATAGTAAAGACATGTCCTCTTTCCAACTATGACCTCCATATCTTTCACGAATATTTGTTCTTGCCGAACCTCTGAGTGAAATAGAAGTATCATGTATCACTCGGTCTTCCCTGATTGTGGCATTTTTATCCGCCACTGTACCCATTCCTAGTCGCTCTTCCGCATACAACAACACGTTCGAAGCCTAATTCCACAAAACAAAAACCCCAATTCATCGTGAAAGCCCTGCATTATCCACGGCAATACATTAATTTTCTTTTTCAAACAATGCAGCCCGTTTTATATGGGATCGCGCTCTATTTCTGGATCCCCGACATGTGGATTTGTCTTTACCGTTCTCTTTTCAACCGATTGCCATTCCATATCTGTTAGTAAACAATGCATTTTCGATTTCGACATGTATAAATATACCGCCATCCATTAGAACACCAACAATTTCTTTTATGTATACAGGACGTCTCTTCTTAGTGATATATCATGTAAATGTTAAAAGTGCGACGGTAACGATAACGTTATCAAAATATTCAGTTTTAGGAAATCAAAATATACTAAGTGACATATAAATCCGAACACCCAGTTCAAATGGTTTTATTTTAATAAAAGTTGGTGAATATATTTATCTTACTGTAAATAACAAGTGAAAAAATGTTCAGCCTTATCAGTTAGACATTCCGGTTTTTATACTGCTTTTTTTTAATTCACTAACGCTCTAAAAATGAATATTTCAGCCGCAGTAAAGAATCAACGTTGGCGGATTTTGGTTCTTGACATCCTTTACGATCGGTTACGATGCCTAGAGTACGGAGACCTGTACGATTTTGTCAACTTAGTGAGTTTGATAGGGGCCGTATAGTGGGACTTCGGGAAGCTGGACTTTCTTTTCGGGCAATTGCAGTTAGAGTGCAAAGAAGTTTAGACACTGTGGTTAGGTGTTGTCAGGCATGGCTTCGAGAAGGCCGTACGCAAAGAGCAAGGGGCACTGGACGCCGCCGTAGAACAACAGACCGTGAAGATCGCCGCTTAAGATTATTGGCCTTAAGGGACCGTTTCTCCACTACCAGGTCCATTGCAAATGAATGGTTTGCAGAACACGGAAGACCTATTGGCATGCGAAGTGTTTACCGACGAATGAGAAGTTTTGGCTTGTTTTCATACCGGCCACACTGGGTCCTCCCTTTAACTCGAGAACACCGACGTAATCGCCTTGAGTGGTGCAGACAACGGTCACTCTGGGATCAGGAATGGAACAGTATTGTCTTTAGTGACGAGTCTCGATTTTGTTTAGGCATGCACGATGGTCGTGCCAGGGTTAGAAGGCGACGTGGTGAAAGGAGGAATCCACAGTTTTTTGTTGAAACACATGTTCATCACACTGTTGGAGTTATGGTTTGGGGTGCTATAGCTCATTGTTCCAGGTCACCTTTAAACGTCATCAGAGGTAACATGAACGCGCAGCGTTATATCCACGAAGTACTATAACCCCATCTTTTACCCTATCTTGACACCCTGGCAGATCCAACTTTCCAACAAGATAATGCCCGACCACATGTTGCAAGAGTCACAATGGACTTCTTTCAACATAATGATGTCACATTGTTACCATGGCCACCAAGATCTCCCGACTTATCCCCAATTGAGCACGTGTGGGCTATCATGGGTAGGAGATTGCT